CTCCAATGTGTAGTTTGGAGAGAGGTTTCAGTAGACCTGGGACAGTGTTTTGAGCACTAGAATCGTCAGCTATGGTGACACTTGAGGGGGAAGCCGAAAGAGGAAGTTTAGAGTTGAAAGTCGATGTAGGAGGAATAATAGGAATTGAAGAGGGAGGTTGATTATGAATACAGTCATCTTGAGTGCTGTTAGAGTTATGAGGGCGGTTATCACTTTCCGGTTGCCCACACCGTGGAAGGGTTGTTCTGGAGGTACCTGAAAAGGAAATTGGATTAGAGGTGGTCTTAGTGACCTGAGAGCGCGACCGCAGTGCCCAAGGGACAACTGCCTGAGGTCGGTCACACGACCTTTTTATGGGCAATTTTTATGTTAGCTACGTACTTGTTGAGACCTCAGCGTCGGAGACGGATATCCGTGAGATAAGGCGAGGTGTGCATTTTTAGGGTCGACCTTTTCTAACCTCACCCCTCCTTGTGGGAAGGCAGCATCGCTGTCATGCTGGTTGTCTGAAGGAAACACCTTACTGCTGTCACACCTCTGTACAGTCAGCAGTACGACTTCGCCTTCGGACCTTGGGTTTGTTGCTTTTAGTCTTATCGCTCTTCAACCGACCTTTCTGACGTGGTAGGACCTTGAGGAACAGTGTTTCCAGTCAGTATAGCTCGGTTGCTTCATCACGATAGGCAAGCCCGACCACCACGTCAAGGTAGTAACAACGGTCGGGATCGGTCCATAAATGGATCCAAAAAGTTACCATTCATTATGCTTATCGCGACATAACACAAATAGAATAAAGATCGTAGTAAGTGTGAGAACTACAGAGGAATCACACTACTGTCAGCACCAAGTAAAGTTTTCAGTGGTGTTACTGAAGCGAACAAATCATTCAGTAGATACATCTTCAAGGTAAACAAGCTGGCCTTCGTAGCAATTGATCATGTACGGACAAAACTGCAACGCTGTATAATCAGTTAAACATAATTCATCAGTTCGTATTAAGCTCCTTGATTATGAGGCAGTATGCGACTGTGTGAATGAAAGGTACGGTAGGATCGTCGATATTATGAAATACATGAAAAGATCTTCACCATCATGCGAAGCCTTTAGGAGGGATACTGATGTGTGGGTAAGAAAAATAATGACTGGTTATTTACCTAATCGGACTAGTAGATAGTGTGACTGGTACTAGATGCGCTACATATTTTCCTACCCCTATTATTATTTCTGACGCGGCAACATACTCGAGTTCTAGTCAGGCTTGTCACGTGCTCTTGATCTGAATTGTGTTGAAGTTTTGTACAATGGACACTGAGAGGGCATCTAGTGGAGATATTCGTCTAAGGCAAGTTAGTTTAAGGTGGAAAACCGAGAGCTACTTCAGACACACATCGCAGAAGCCAACAAACTGGATTATCAGATAGATTCCAAATTGAAGTCCTGATGGCAAAGAAAGAGGCCCTAGGAACTGGATGTGTATACCTAAAAGAGAGAGCCCAAGACAGAGTTGTTAGGATTCCTTGGTCGGTGGCCTATGGTGCAAGAAGGGTACAACATTCAATTATATCCTTTTTAGTCCATATCGATACTACAGCACATGAAGTTAGAATGTAGATGTTTAGTCATTTTAAATTTAGCTTGCTAGCTTGTTGCTTCTATGAATAATCTACACCCTTGAAAAAGCCATCTTTTGTTAACCTTCTCAAATGTCTGAGGTGATTATATTCAGCTGCTTGAATTTTAGTTTACTGGTAGCTGTATTAAATCTTCATACAAGTCAATATAATCCCTGAATTCATGCTTCAACTCAACCAATACTTTTCTAAAAGTTAACCAACATATTTCTTGTTGACCAATATCATCTAATATAATGAAATGTATCATATCTCATGACCTTGAAAATGTAATGTGACTAAGTTTGAAATAAAATTTCTATCAATAAAATCTACTGCTATGTATAATACTTAGTAAGTATTAAATAAACTGATCCACAAAGAATTGTACTTTCGTTACACGGATGCATAAAATTAACAATTTATGTCAACCAAGTCATTATTTCCTATCCACATTATTGATCCAACATATAAAGATATAAATGAATATGCAAAAGATTATGATTATGATCTACGTGGTGTACCAATATCAAAATGGACATTGATCATAAATTATCCATTAATTTATTTAAAATATTATTTAGAAAATTACTCGTTTCTGTCATATTTACTACCGGTGATATTACTTTTGATATTTTATATTTTAATGAATCTTGTTGAAAGTATTAACTGTTTATATTATAAAATGAAAATTGCAAGAGAATGGAAAAAATTTACAGATAAACATTATCGTCCAGTATCAACTGAAAACAAACCGGAAGACATCAATCTTAAACGATCAAAACAATCCCACGAACAATGTAAAGAAGATACTTCAAACGTTACAGAAGGACAACAGAAAGAAGATTTAATAGACCCTGTTCTTACCTGCCTACCCTATCATATGAGAAAGTTACTAACAATAACAACTGAAAACGACAAAGTATCGAATGAAACTAATACAGAATCAATTGATGAAAAAATCCAGCTTCAGGAAATTGAAAGCCAAGGTTGGATAAACGAATACATATCTAGAGTTCGTGTTGCAATGAAACAAGCTGCAAAGTATCAGAAAATAAAATCTTATCCTTGCGAAGAATGGAATTCTCTTGTGTGCTACAATGAAGATGGTAACGACCAAAATGAAGGTCAGAAGAATCCTAACAGTATAAAAGAGGTTCATTCGTCCAAAATGAAAACACAACTAGTAGATAATGACCACAAGGATGATAAAAATAATGAGAAGCAAAAACCGCTACTAGAATTTCAATTCAAAGGAACTGGTGAATCACATGGTAAATTATCTGGTACTAGGGAACAGAATTCGTTAGCACCGATTTCACACAGAAAACGAAATAAACGTTATCAATCAAAACAACGCTTAATGAAATTTAATAAACCGTTGTATTTAACAACTGAACAAGCGTTGTTTAAAGATAGTGGTCAAGTATCAAATCTACATAGTCTATCATATAGACAGAATAGTTATCATTATTACTCAAGGCATCATAAAAGGCATAAACGTTCTGAAAAAGAAATTTAAAAGAGCTGCAAATAATCAAACAAACATTTGTTGCATCAGACTTGAATGAAGACTGAAAAAACTACTATAAGAAATCAATTTCTCCTTATAAATAAACAAAACATTGATGGAAGCAGAGAAGTAACGAATACTTGTCAGTTGATTCATTTGGAATATTACTACATAATAATAATAATAATAATACCAAGTAAAATTCTTACGGTTATTAATGAAATTACTCTAATTTTACTGCATAAACCTTATGGGCCAGAATTTTTGCTAGTGTTCATTAGAGCGTCAACTTCATGAAGGTAATACAACATTTTAAGCAACCTTCTCTTAATGCATACAATAATCCATTTTCCTAATTTATAAAATGGACACGGACTTTGGCATACAAAATTTATTATAATTATTATCAAATCTTTTATTTTTATCAGGTCTTAAACTATAATGATTGCTTCACTTATTTCACATAGCTAACAAAAATATTTTGTGAAACAGTTACAGCAATTTTAAAAATTTTTAAAATAATAAGTGTATGCAATTTGTAATACTGTGGTGTATGCTACTTATATTGACAGACACATGTAGTATGTAACGCCAATCAGAAGAGGCATGCTCGGAAGTAGAAGGTTGAGCTGAAGAAAACAGGAACGTAAATAAAGTAATTGTAATAACAACAGGAGTGAAGAAACGATGAAATTTGTGAGAGACAAATGATAGATGTGCAAATGAAGTATTGAATAAATGGTTTCCATAATTTACGAAGACACTCTAGCATTAAGTAATAAATTGATCTTTGCCGCCTGAGTCCTCGTTCACTACAATACTATTCATAAACTTGACGTTATCAGCTGGAACAATTTCTACATTGTAGGTTCTTATACAACATAAAACAAACTTAAAATGAATGTGTTAAGGAGACTTCGACAAAATAAACTGAAAGTTGAATTTATTCAAATTTCATACGACGAACGAGAACTTTGGGACAGAATTTTCGAAGAACTATTTCAATATTCACTATCAAAGTTTTGACATCAGTAAAACGTAAGATCGATGACTTTACACTAATATACAGGTATTTTCGATATAAAAAGCCAATTATTCAAGCTGTGTTATCTTAATTACAAATAGTTTAAGGGTCTTATCATCATTCTCTAAATGATTTAGGTGTCTGAACATGAATCCTAAGTAATAACAATAATAAAGAAACTAATGTTTTTGGTCACCGCAGCAAGACAACTATAACAATGAGAAAGATCTCTATCTGTAAAAGGTTGCTCAAAGTTTTACAGATACTCAAAATCTATTAATTTACAATGAGGGTATTGATAAGTGTTAAAATGACCAAGATGTTAACTCAAAATTTTAGATGCCACAATATTTCATGAGTGAAAGTAGCAGTCATTATTGAGAATGCTCTGTCTTTGACACTTACTAATTCTTAATTTAACGAAGACTTTAAGTGTCTCATTATGCAGACAACTATGAATGACTATATGAAGCATTAAACATTATAAGGTTTAAAATCGGTGCATGATTACAATGTCATTAAATGTCAAACAAATAAACTTCATACAAGTTACTTGAATCGACAGTGAGTCTATTACAAAGATCACACACTTGAAATCAATAAACGAGAACAAATGCATTAATTTAAAGAGCGAACAAAATTATTTATTAATTTCATACTATAATATAACAAGGTAATTTGATGTTTTGCTTGTATGCAAGTGTGTTGGATCTCCTAAATGTAATATAAAGGTCAAATATAAAAAAATAATAAAGTTTAGAATAGAAATAAAATTTTACAGAAAAGTTCCTGTTCACTGTCGAATAAATTATTTTTTGTAGAATTAAAATATAGAAAGAAAAGCAAGAAACAATCAAATAATATTTAATTCAGCATTTGTTGAAGTATAAAAATCATTTAAACCAAATATTATAGTTAACTGTGCCAATTTTGACCTAGCGCTTCTAACACTGCTACCTCCATCAGTAGTATCATGAACAAGTAATCGATTAACACGACGTCTTAAAAATTGACTGTAACTTCGAAAACTTGCATGAACCGCATACAACTGCCTCCATTCTGTATGCTCAATCTGTTCATTACTCAATAACTGTTGTTGAGTACCATCAATATCACTAAACTGATGATGCGATGATTTAACAATCCATCTTCCTGTTAATAAAGCACGATGAAACTGATGTGCACATGTGAGCAAACCTTGGAAAAGTAGATTTAATTCACTATCTGATACATCCAGCAAAAGCCTAAAAGAAAATTAAAATATGAACAACATTATTACTATTCTACTTCATAAATACACATATGTAAACAAAGGTAGCCACATTTAAACACAGTCAGTATCAAAAGCATAGGCGGTAGAAATATAAGGTCGTACTGTTATTTTAACCAATGTTAAAATTAGCAAACGAAATACAGACTAATCAGCATAAACATTAGCGAACACTGAAATATGAACAGTTAGAGTATGACCCAGAGATTCACAAACGGGAATTTACATAATTTGACATTGAAGTGAATCTTATAAACAAATAAGTAACTGATTTAAAGCCCACATTCTTTATACAGTAATGGCAAACAGCCTGTCCACAACATTAATGCTTTAACGATTTAGACTTATACACATTCATGCTGATAACAGCCTATCACCAACTCAGGGGAACATACAGCTAAGATTCAAACTAAGAATCCAGTTTCTGTTTAAAAAAGTTTCACGCAACAACGATTGTAGAAAGCAGACTGAAGCTAATATTATCTACTGTAATTTTTGAGTTTATTTTTCTTCGTTCCCTATATCGTCCACGAACCTTTATCTTATGACTTCATCTCTGAGCTATTCATTCCTTTATTATTTAAATATAAGTGTTTTTAAATTGAAAAAGTGGTAATATAGTCGGCAAAAAAGTTGAAATGAATGATATATATCATAATAAATCGACTAATCAATCAGTCAGTCAGTCAGCTACAACGTAGGACCAGGCACATATATGCATCGGTCCAGGTTGCCATACCGCATTAGCACAGCAAGATGAACACCGGATTTATAGGAGTGGTTAGGTCAAAGGTGGTAATATATAGAAGAAAGATTGCATATAAGGATACAGTACAGAGAGAAAGAATTAGTTAGTAGAAAGAAAGATATGAAGTGATTTTAATTTCTTAGTTTAAGGGAAGACAGGGAGTGTATACACCGACTAATCAATTAAAATTCAATAAAAAAAGAAGTACTCGTTTATGAACGTTCACTTATAAACATAATTAACGTTAAATTAAACTTCCTTTATTTTGAACCACAACTGTAACGAATTTTACTTCAGTATATCAAATTCAGAAGACATTTCTACATAACCCGTAATACAACAAACACAAATAATAATGAAATAAAAAGAAAAGAGAATTTACCCAGATAGAATTTCATTCAAATAATTTTCATGTGCATTGAACAACACATTCAAATTGTTAATTTGTTCACTTTTAATAGATTCTTCATTATCTATAATATTTTCTATGATATGTTTATACATTTTAAATGAATTACCTTCGGACATAAAATTATAAAATGTATTAGATAATCCTAAATATTTCATAAATTTACTCCAACATGCATTAACATGATTTGATAAATGCATATTTAAACTATGAATAACTTGATGTAATTCATGTAACCATAAATAGATACAATGAAATGATTTTGATAATTGATCAAATAGAGTATTGAATGATGATGGTGATGATAAAGTCGAAGATGAAGAGATATTTCTTAAGTTTAATAAATGATTTAAACAATAATTACGATCATTTTTTAATTGTATAATACATGAATTCAATGCCCATAGAGCAAATTGACATTGGATTAAACGTTGAAATATACAATTGTATTTTTTTATTATATTAACATTAAAACAAAGATTAATTGGCCATGGAGCATTATACATTAAATGTAAATTCTTAAAAGATATATATTCATATTGGTCAATAATAGATGAACTATTATCAGCTATAGAATGATTTGATTCTATATCGAAATCATTATTTAAAGAATCAATAGTTGATAGTTGTTTTGTTGTTGATATTGACGACAAGGAGATCAAATCTAAGTAATTCTTAATCAAGTTTGTAATGTTTAACAGTGGAGAATTAACAGAAATATCGTCATGTTTATCATTATTATTAAGATCTGAATTAAAATTTGATAATATTTGTTGATTTGACATTTCTGAACTGACTGATTTTAAAAGCTGTTGAAGATAATGTGTATCAAATATGCTGGCACGATCATAAACTGTTCCAGAAGCCTAGAAAAAATAACGAAAATCTATATTTGCATTCTATATAAGTAGTAGAATATAGAAAATATGTTTTCAACTTTTTGGGAATTCATCACTTGAATACAACCTACATACATCCTAATCAGCGTACATGATTCCACTTCAACCTGATAAGAGAGTATTTGTCGTTTTAAACACTAAAACGCTTTCTTGCATTGTGATTTCAATCAAGAGTTCTACTTATTGCATTTACATGACCAATTAATTTCTGTCTAAAGCAAAATGTCAAATATTAAAAATCAATTTATGTATACGGAATATCAAATTAAGAGAAGTGGGAAAATTCTTATTCCAAATCCATTGGTCAACATTGGCTCCTTAATTCCAACAGAATGCACGTTACAGGAATCTGTCCTAGTAATTATAGTTAGTGACAACTTAACTTCTAAATAGTTTTAATTCATTAAAAAGGGCTTCTCTATGAATTAATCTGAATTCAATCAGACGGTAACCTACTATTTCAAAAATACTGCTCAAAATTCAAATTAGAAAAAGGCATATTATCGATAACTAGTGTAAACATATCAGTATGAAGAATCTTGATTCTAAATTATAAATACGCTCTACATTCGTTTCTATAAGATCATCGTCTAGATATGCTAATGTTCAACCAAGCACCAAAACCAAATATACATTAATGAACAAATGTAATTATTTCCCATTTTTCCAAACGTGATCCTCGTCAATACTAACATTTTCTGAGTTACTTACAACAAATTTAATACCCTTACATTAATTTTAAGGAGAGCAAACACAACAGTATTTTCAACTGTCATCCCTGGAAACAAGTGACCGAAAGCGAAATACAGAATGAAGAGCTTAACAATAGGAAAACAGACATAGTTTAATAACTCGGTACAAATATATCCAAAGGGCTGTGGATGAAACGCCTTGCACAAGAGTCGGAGATTTTATCCGGCTTTTCAGACGGAACTTAATAAAGTATGTATGAATAATAAAACATTACACGCTTAATGAATAAATCATATATAAGCCGATTTCATTTAGATTAAGTATATACTTTTCAAATTGAGGGTATTTTATTAAACAGATAGTTCCACTTAAAAGTCGGATCGATATGGATATGTAATGATTATATACTAAACTAGCTGAAGACACATTGGAGAATAACTCATAGATCAGTAGAATTTATGGACAATTTTTATTTTGAAAAGCACCAGGGAATTCAGCAAAATACAGTATTACAAAATGTAAATAGGGTATATCCCTCATCAAACGAATAAGCTTACATGTTTAGAACGAAGGTATTCTGTACATCTCGACTGGCTTCTTTTCAAACTGGATATTTTTAGGATACCCTAGAAGTTTCCCATGTAACTTATTACATAAACAATTGCGTTTCTTACCTCTGTACAATCGTTCCAGAATTTATCTTCAGAATATAATTTATGCCTAGATTATTCTATTCTGTCTAGAATTGATCAAATTACGGTGAAATGTACTACAAGTCAAAGACACTAGAAGTCGAGAAGAATGTAATACTTAAGGAGTTCAATTAAAACCTAAGACCAGGGACAACAACAATCTGGTTACTTTTTTCTCAATATTGCAAAAATATATATAATGAGATAATATTAACTTTAAACAATCATTTGTAATAGTTTACTTGATTTAAAATTTAATAAAACAAACAATTACTACTAACCTTATGAAATAAAGCATTCAATAATGGTTGAGCAAAACTTCCATTGTTTAGGAAATAAGTTTCATACAAACAATAAAAGTGATCACATAGACGAAGATCAAATATGAAATAATTGCACAGTGTTTTGTTAACATGTTTCATGCTATAAAATATGTAGAAAAACATAGAAATGAAAATTTATTCAAAGAAAGTGATAATTATCAGTATAAGGTTGTGAAGATTGTTGAGTTTCAAATAAAATCATGAACCGGCCAATGTTGGGTTCGAGTCCTGCGTGCGAGATCATGGATGTGCATTGCTGAGTCCCATACTAGGATTAAATGACCGTCCAGTGCTTCCAGGGTTTCAATGGTGGTCTAACATTGGTCGGTTCATGATTACAATTGAAAGTGATGATTAGTTGAAAAAAATCAAATTTAATGTTGTATTTGTTTTCTTATCATCTAAATAGTGCCTAACAAACATATCAAATTCACAGAATCGTTAACTCAAACTTTCAAAATAACTTATGTACAATTTTCCATTGCACCGATTTCTGTATCGCTGGCTTTAAGAAACTAGATATTTAAATCATCTTAAGCGAAGATGTTAATTTATAGTTTACAACCAGGCAATAGAGATACATTCTGTTCAGAAAGGTAGAGAATGTTCAGTAAGATCACATTTAAGGTATTGATGATTTGTTTGGTTTATAAAAATCTCTTTCAATGTCACTCAGATCCATTATCTAAGGTTTAAGTTAACTCCACATCAAAACGTTAAATTGCAAAAACCAACTACAACTCGTCTTAAAAGTGGAAAATTTGAAAAAGTTATAAAAGTAGATCACCAATATCTTCAGGACAACTAAGCGTAAACTTCTAACGACATAAGATGAATATATATATAGCACATCCACTGGTAATTTATAATCTTAAAAATGAAAGAGGAATTTTCAAAACAAAGTAACACTTTTGAAAATGAAAGAAACGAATCAAATAAAACCTACTGAATACTGAGAGGCCAAATCAAGGAACGGTTGATTAGTACACTTAAGGGCATTAATAGTGAACCATTTGAATTTTTAAACAAATTGTCAAGTTCATTTGAAGACTGTACAGATGAATCCGAGTTTTTGAATATTGACGACACAGAAAGACAATTTTGATCTATGGTAACGACAAAAAAAATTAGTCAAAAGAAAATATTTTTTAACTACCAGAATAGGTAATCAGTTGAAAATAACGAAACTAAAATTGTTGGCATGTATCATCAATTTGATAATTAAGATTAACATCCTAGATGCTCTGACTTTCTGGTGACTTCCGAGTTGTCAGATCTATCAAGGCCTATGGGATATTACAAGACGATATTATTGCGGACTAGGTTTAATGCAAGCTCCATCTCATGAATATGCGGTCTGCTTATTTCTAAAGTAGAGCAGTGGCTCATAGGTTTAAGCAATTGTCACTTGACGAGTAAAATTTAGTCCCAGCAACCACGTCTTAATTAGTCAGCAAATAACCTAAAAAAAACCTGTAATTTCCAATTATATATGACTTAATTATAGTTTTGTCCTAATATTTTGTGCATAAACGTGTTGCTATTAGGAAGAAAAACCTATTTTGCTGAGCAGATGTTTTGTCTTTTGACATCTGTTCATATGGGGGCTTGTGTCAATGATCAGGTTTTGTGAGCAGTTATCACTCGACTACATTGTATCATCCTATTTCACATATCCATCAACATTTTACTCATCTATTTAACAATTCTTAAACATTTTTCAATACAAATCATAAAACCTTCCTCTATAAAAGCTTACAAGAAATAAATCGCGGTTTTAATCATCGCTTTGCCTAATTCAGTGATATCACCAGCCCTCAACACAAATATTATAGTTCATAGCTGAGTATAAAAACTTGTACATTCACATTCAATATTGAGGGAGTGTGTACGATATACTTTGTGAGCACCAAAATGTATTTCTGAGTATACGGAATACAAATATGAGCAATATAACGGATACTTACATATCCATATGTTCAACAAATCACTAAAACATTATGAGATACATTTATTTAATATTGGTCTCAATTAAATAACAACCAAACAATCATTCATCAATTATAGGAGTCGATTTGATACACGTTACGTGTAAACAACGTTCCAAGCTAGAGATGATTTAGGAATAATATCTTGTTTGAATAATGAAGGACAGCAATTGAGTTTTTTACAGGTGGGAATTTCAGTCTTGGAATAAAATCTAAATGAAAAGAGACTGCATCACACTCTACAAATAAGTGATAAACTCATTCGAGACATTGAATTTTAGTAAATATTTGTGGATATTTGTATTTGATTATCGGCTGCAATTATTTTGTCAAATTAGAAGGTACTACAGAAATATGCAAACATAATCTTGTACTTATACGTTAACGATTGAAGATTTATGTTACTGAGATACAACCCAAATAATTCAAGAAGCGAAATTACTAAACAAGTTTGCTTTGGGAGTTTAAAGTTTAAATTAACAGAGCTCTATACTCCAGCTTTATATATATTGAGACTTATCAGAAACCTTTGTCACGGAATCAATTTATGTTATTAGAATGCATTACCGTGGAATATCGACAAATGTCAGATAGAAAGGATACATAGCATGACACTGGATTTTTTTCTAGAGCATATAGGAACTTTACAAATGTATATAGCCAAAACTCATTATATTACGTCACTTTTGGACCCCGATGGTATGAGGACAGTTGAACCTAGTGATTCGTAGGAGAATATTCACAATCAAACACAGTTTCAATAAAGTTGAAGCACTAAGTGCACTGATAAATCACATGAAAAAATACACTATATTCTAGAACAGACATTAAGAATGTAAACGTACCAAGTGATGGGAATTCTTTGGTAAACGGTTTTACTGGTGACGTACCGTCCGAAAATTCTAAGGCTTCTTTATAAAATGTGACTGCGTCCGGTTCAGGCAGTTCCGTAGCTAAGCGAACTGCATCCTCTTTCTCACGTTCTGCTTCCCAAACTTTATGCATACAATAAGGGAAATGACAGGAAAGAATAACAAGCAATTAATAGATCATATATATATAGAATCAATCGAAATAAAAATTCATTTTTTTAAAATGCGTAGTAAAAAATAGTTTATTTATAACGATACTAATCAGCTAAAAATGAAATCTGATATCATCAAGAGGATAATCGAAATAAAATGATTGAGTTACTTTCATTTAGAGCTTCAGAAAAGCTTTAAACAAAGCACACATTGTTTACATTCAGTCAGTTAATAATTTTCTCATCAACGCTATGTCGCCAAATACGAAGAATTCATTGGTCTGGAGTGCAGGCAAACATTTACCTTTATCGACGGTAAATTTCAGAAGAAATTATTCATGTAGAGAAATGTAAAATCTTTGCCACAATAAATGATATATGTATAAATATACCTGGAAATATATGCTCGTGTGAAACTATTCAAACAATGTAAGTAGACTAACCTGACGGCCTAGATGATGGACCAAGACCTTTACCATAGAGTATATGCTGAATAGTTGAATCAGAAGAATGACCAAAAGTATTACGTTCCCGAAAGGATTTCATAGATGTTAAAGTATTCAAATTATTTACATCGGCAGATTTGGTAAATTTAGGCTCAATCGATTTCTAACAAAACCGGATTGTAGAAGAAAAAATAGGTAGTAGGTGTATAAGAATGAAGCAATAAAATATTGAAGAAAAAGAACAAGAAAATAAGAGATGGGTTTAACAATTTTTACGATTATTTACAAATAATGAAAGCACAAATAGATACATATATGTATAACGGCAAAAGAGAACTGAAACCAAAACTTTATTTTACTATTTATTTTATTGTTGGGCAAATCAGCATAAATCACCCATGACAATTTTAGATCGTCTTATAACGTAAATAACGACTGGTATTTTTTTATATATTAATCCTTCGTATATACAACATAAATGTTTGATATTCGGCAACTCAATAAAATATAGGGCTCTGTGAGTACTAATCATATTGCCGTCAACTTGGGTATTATCAACGCAAATCTGTTCTCAATATCCCATAAATTTGCTACATTATATCATACACCGATCGACTGATAACTAATTCTACCTTTCATCTGATTAGACTTTGGTTTGAAACAAAAAAACAATATTACTGTAACTATGACATTGTACCAAAGTTCTAAAAATCTAACTTGTCAACCAGTGGAGGACCCAATTAATACCATTAGAAGTAACATTGTTGCTCTCTTGAGATGTCTGTCAACAATAAACAAGAGAGAACTTGTCCCGATCTAGGTTAGGGCCGTGACACGATGGACTAACCGGTAAAATTTTGAGGTTAGAAATGAGTGAGTCCAAATCGAGACTATCGGCCTTGAGCAGAGAGACAAAAGATAACCTGTCGCCTAATTGGTTAACAAGCGAGAGAGAGAGAGAGAAGACGAACTAACTGAAACACTACTCAACTTATTAGTGATTCAACTTAGTGTACAAAAGATACATGAATAAATAGACGTGTTGGGATACTCAGAAAAATATCCCAATAATTATCATGTTAAGTCTAATGATGCCCTTGGACCTTAAATGGACATTCCCTATTGGCCGTTATTTATTTCACTCGTTAAATATTGTACAAATGTTGTTTTCTATTTTATGGTACGATGTGGTCTGTTTGATTGGTATATAAACAGAGTATGTCAGAAATACAGTGATTCATATATCAGAGGCTGAGACTTGCGTTCTGGACTCAACTGGCTGGGCTAGGCAGGGAGGCGGGACCAATCAGGACTCTAGGCCGTTTTCGCGTGTCTTACGCGTCTTTGAATCGATCGATAATTCGCTAACCTCCAATCTGCAGCATTTCACGTTACAAGATGACTAACATAACCACAACGCATCAACAATTAGAAAAGTACGATTACGTCCAAACTGAGCATTAGAGTAGAAAAAGTGGAGTACAAAAGTTAGGTTTCAATAACAATAGCTTCGGAATAGAAAAGGGTATGACAGTGAGTCATACATCAAACGACAGCTCATGATTTACAGAATAACCTAACGATAAAAATCAAATGTTAGTATTTTACAAACTTTAAAATAATGTCCGCAAAAATAGCTTCACGGCTTCTTCATTTCTCTATTCACATCAAACCTAATGAATGAACTGACAATGGACGGAAAGTCCGTCGCCCACTAAAACGTCAGATAAGGTTAGCGTATGCCATAGTATGATCACTATTCAGATATGTACTCTAAAAGGAGAGGCAATTTTTCACACGTTCACTCCATAGACAGTGGATCGTAATGTGAGAAATCTAAGTTCAGGCACAAGTTGTAAGAGAAGGACACCAGGTAGCATATTGGTAATGATCGCGTCGGAAAGTAGTGCTGGACAGAAGCTCAAAGGTATGGAAGGAAGTCAACGTAATCTGAACTTAAGTCGCCGAAACCCCATTAGGCACTAAAGCGACTCTCTTCTGCCCTTCGACACTAACCAGAACCAGAATAACTATCGAATGAATCTTATTGAAGAGATTATTTGACTAGTGGTAGAACTAATATTTGGTTGCTTTCGAGATGTAATTTATTGACGAGTACGAGATTACGAAAAGATAACATTTCCTACACAGGTTTCTTCTAACATAACGGTGAAAATAATGTCCGTTAATGTAGATCCAGTAGATTGTTGCTGCCTTTACTGTGGCGCTTAGAGTAATACTAAAGCCAAAGGGGGAAAGTTTAAATGTCACTCATAAAATCGATTATTGAGATAGAAATTTCAATAAGAAACGAGCTGTTGAACACGAATAAAGGTATGTCGAGAATGAGAATGAAGCGAAACAGAAAGCTGAAGCAACGTAGAGTAATTTTAATTGTAGTAAAGTGATTGCCAATATCATTTGCAAGGACAACGAGGCGGAGGGAATAGAACATTATCTTCACAATTATTTATTATCATATTTGTGAGAAAGTGAAATTATTTATGACCAAAGGAACACTGAAACAAACACCGAATGAATTCCAGGAAAAAAGACATACGTCATAGAATTTACCGTTAACTATAATTCTACAAAATTGTTACACGAACTATAACACGACAGCAGAAAACATTTTTCGTGCATAATCAGTAAAACATAAAACTGATTTAATATAAACACATAAAACATCAAAATACAACACAAAGTGAATTAGGAATTATCACAATCAATACTGGATAATAAAAACATCAAAAAATCTTACTTCATCTGAACATTTTTCATGAGCTCCATAAATTATCTCTGACATTTGATCTTTGAATATGCATCCATCTTTATTACGCTGACGAAATTTAATACGTAGAATTGTTAAAGGATCATCACTCAATAAATTATCGGGTTTAACTAAGTTATTTTCTCTTTCATTTTGTACAGTATGAAATTGTAATTGTGGTTGATGATCATTATTTTCTTGTTGAATCATTTCAGATGAAATGATACACATTTCAGAGGACTGATTAAATATACTTGGAGTAATTTCAACTGAAGATTTTTCATTAATTGAATTTTCATTCCATTTATCCTTACCCATGGGAGCAAAACGATTTGCTTTAAATTCTAATGCTTTAATAGCACTTGGTTCCAATGCCTCAATAAGAATATGATCATTTTTAATATGTTTTTCAAAACTGAATCTACGTTCATCAGCTTGTTGTATTAAATTCGTGTAAAATGCTTCTAATTCAGCTCTGTGATAGAAATCAATAAGTAAGAACGATATATATATATATATATTGTGTAACAGTTTAATTGTTTAAACATCATTGTGATAAATAGTATCTAAGATTTCAATATGTTAAACTGTTAATTATATTACCGCCTATCTGTTTTAAACTAGACATGATAAACTGATATAAATTACCAAGTGTCTGAATAAAACAAGATTAACAACAGACTACCTACCTAGATTTGCTTGTCTATTAAAGGAATTATCAACTAGCTGAGAAATTTATAAAGCACATAAATGTTAATTAACTTTGGAATGAATACAAAAATTAATTTGTACGGTTACATATTGATATAAGAGATAATTTAAAATGTTTTCTTCTCTCTGTAGTATATTACCATAATACAATAAGTAATATGATAATGAGAATGGTCTGGTTGATTGAGTTTGCAATACCGCTGGATTGGATACTCGAGCAGTACACAGTTGAGACTGGATCACGTTATATCAGATAAACGATTCACAATTAAGAATCAAGAATCAGATTAACGCCAGACAACACTTTATTCCAAACAATTGCAAATAGTCACTTTCAGTGAGTCCTAAGTAGAAATCAATAAGAGGTAAGAAAATCACAAATTTAGTAGTCAGTAAGTTGAATGCCTGTGCTTTTTACACTCAGTGACCAACCACATTTACTCTCACTAGTACACACACCTAAACGACAAGCTACGTTACATTGCATTTATAAGAGCCTACATATCCAGATTTGTAGAAATCTTAAGATTGAGTAGATACCTATATAGCTTTGACCTTCGCTGGAAAACTAAATGAATATATTTTACACATAAATGGTGTACATCACCTAGTACATTTATTTCAAACACAAGATAAATAAAATATTTTTGCACTTCAGATACGGATGGTGTTTAAGAATAACATGACCAACACTCGGATTAGTTCTAGCATAGATTGTGTTCACCGAATTGTGTACAGAGCTCTAGATAGAAATAAGTATGTGAAACGAATTGCACAATTGAACGATGAGAAGTATTCTCGTTTCGCGCACACACGAAATCTATGCATCACCACCATTTTACTACACTTACGATTTAATTTCGACGTTAGCCAGAATCATTTACAAAAAAGTGTTCAGTTTCCAAGAATTCAGATACCGAATACAACATTAATACACTCAAATTCCAATTAAATCAATTGTAACTTTGGTAACTAGACATTTAAATATTCGCGATAAGTAAGTGTAGTGTAGAAGTTGAGTAGAGGAGCGTCTTTTCTGTTATTTAAGGGGATTCAAATTTTCCCAGGATTTTAAAATGCCTAAAATTCTGAGTACTTTTGATTGACAGAGTAATTTAAGTTACATCCACTCAGAAACTGTCTAAAATTTTGCAGTACTAAAGAATCGTTAGCAAATATTAGCATGGAATCTCTCGAACTGTAAAAATGATAGGACTAAAATTTATAAATTGATATGGACTAGATGAAATGGGGCTAGCAGCGGGATCTACGATGCGCGTTTCGCCCTGTTTTAGACTCTTCAGCTGGATGCACCTGCATCCCAGAGTTGATGTTCACTCGGGGACTTCAATCAACTATTGTTTGCTTCAAGAGCCATCGCGTTACCTACTTAGCTACTGAGTCCAGATGTCTACTTACTTGTGCGATGGGTATGAGATTTAATTCGATCTGAAATGGTCTGTGTTATCACGAAACACGCGTCCTGGATTTCATTGCAATCCACGTTCAATCTAGTCCATATCAACTTGTGTCATAATGACTTTATCGAGGTAATTCGCACGGATGCCCGTTTCTCAACTAACTTTCGATCAAAAATATCAACAACGGGTTAATCCGAACCACCTTAAGTTGAATGAAGAATCATAAAGATATTGAATTTCTGATTACTACAGTTACATATATTTCATTATTTCTGTTCAATTATCAAGTACAGGTTTTACAATTTGGCTTTAAGACACACTGTTTTTATAAAGGGCTAGTGATACTACTCGCTTGGCAGAATCAATAAAGGTGGAATGAGATTTAAACTTGTAACCTAGAGGTTGAAAGTTGAGTAGTGTAACGATCAACGCACCACTACTCTTTATATATATTTCACATAATTCCATTCAACTATAGATCAATTAATGTGGAGTAAACGTACTTGGTTTCAGCTATCACTTCTTCTTGATACTTATTAGACATAGAAATTGATTCCAACAGCATTTGATCAGCTTTCTTTTCAGCTTCTATTGCTTCTTGACGTTGTTTAGCCGCATTTTCAGCCGCGAACTTTAAATCAGCGAATTCAGTTTGCTGTTTAGTTAAATATGCCTCTAATCGTTCACGTCGTTTAGCTACATATATTTTTTAATGAGCAGAAAAGTAACGAACTAAACAGTAAACGTCTAGATAAGAATCTAACACAAAAGTTCGTAGTAGTAATAATAATGATGTATTCAATACTTTAATACAGTACAGACATGTTAATATTCGGACGCATACTTTTTTCAAACGTTACTGATGTCATAAACTCCATGGATAGAATGATAAATGAAGATTATTGCTGTGATAAAGCAAGGACGATAATATCTACAGAATACAGTGAATTGATTACATTTCGTTGCATTTTATTCAGCTGCATACATTTACAAGTATTGTCGTTCTTGCTTTATTGAAATTTATGAAGGCAACCATTTGCATGAACATTATTGTAACTATCATTCATCAAATAAATACGGAAAAAAGGAGGCCATTTGTCGAAAGACAACTGCTACTACTAATCTATACTTTATACGTTTCATAGCTAATTTTATTGTGTACAATTTAAACCTCTTCAAACGATCTTGAGCTTGAATTGGGTCCAATGACTCATTATTCGCTTTTCGGAAGCATAATGCACATAAAAACTGAAACGATAAATTCATCGGTGCGTTTTTAACATTCGTAGTATTTCAAAGGGAACACTGTGTAAATTATCTTGAAGTGTAGTGGTATGTTTTTTGGCACAGTAAATTAATCATTTCATATCGTAAATAATGCTCTCTTTTACAAGACTTTATTAAACAAAACTGTTACTTAGATAAAGAAAGACTGATGAAATTCCAGAGAAATTACAATTGAGTGTACTTTTAGCGACAGAAAAGTACGTCAAGCGTAGTGTATATTAACATGGTTGGTTCAATTGATTTAAAAGAATGATCTTTTATAAATAATAGGTAATTTCAGTGTAGTATCATGATACAATAAACAAGAATGGTCTAGAACTCACTTTCATTTCTGTATCACCAATTCATTTACTTAATCCATGACTAGCGTACTCAACAGAAACCATATGCCTAATCACCACAAAAAAGGACTCTGATTCTAACAAGCAAGCCGCAAATCCAAGCCACACAACAGATTCCGTTCAAAGCCTAGCCACTCTGCAAACAACTTAGTGTACGAACGGAAAGGTAATTTCTTACTTGTGTCTAGTTTTCAATGTAAATAAACACTGACAAGAAAGGCGGATTCCTCAGTAGTTATGAATAAAGTTATATATATATACCCAGCTTACCTTCAATGGCCGCGACTCTTGATGATTGAACTTGACTCACATATTTCAAGAAATTTTGTCGTTCAATAATCATTTGGGTAATCTTTTGCTTTCTTAAAGAAGAAGGTGAAAATTAGACAACAAGAAGCAATAGATAAATTACTACGAAAATAATAATACAAACACATCTGTTCAGGCAAACTGACGCGAAAACAAATCAATTTATAGAAAAATTAGGCTGATATGAAATCAGTTATGGAGAAGCTGATTATATCAAAGCTAAGAAATTGTAGCTTGATGGTGCAGAGAAATAAAATATTCCAATTTCGAATCAACAAATCAGACTCAAGAGAGGTAAAAATTTACAAATCATAGGCAATGAAACTTTTCAAAAGAAATGGTTTCCTACTTACGCATGTTACCCCTCGTGGAGGAGCATAGGCAACCCACATGCATTCTACATCCAACCCTATCCTGGGAAATCCTTTCCAGTTATTTCCTATTGCTATCCATCCTTTTCATGTCCGCTTCCCATTCCCGATGTAGTGTGATCTTCGGCCTTACATTTTTTCTTTCCCCTTCAGAATTACGAGTTAGCACCTGCCTCGTGATGCACTCTGATGATTTCCTCAATGTATGTCTTACCGACTACTAGCGTCTTTCTCCAATTCCCTCTTCAGTCGGAAGCTGCTTTGTTCTCTCCCACAGTACACTGTTCCTGATGGTATCCGGCCAACGAACATTCAGTATCGCACGTAGACGATTGTTTATAAATACTTTTAACTTCGTGATGATGGTTGTAGTAGTTCTCCAGGTTTCAGCTTCGCACAGTAGAACTGTTTCGACGTTCGTATTGAAAATTCTAACTCTGATATTGGTTGACAGTTGTTTTGAGTCCCACATGTTCTTTAATTGCAGGAATGCGGACATTCCTTTGCCAATCCTCACCTCTACGTCTACATCACATTTTTCATGTTCATCGATGGTGCCACCCAGATACGTGAATGTTTCAACCTCTCCCAGAGTTTCTCCATCAAGTGTGATGCGGTTGGTGTTCTCCGTGTCGTATTTGAGGATATTGCTTTTTCCTTTGTGTATGTTGAGGCCTACTGGTGCAGAGGCTGCTGCGACATTGGTTCTCATCATCTGCGTTTGTTCGTGTGTATGGGATACAAAGGCCGGGTCATCTGCGCAGTTCGAATCTTCTAATTGATTCCGAGCTGTTCATCGTGTTCCGTGCTTTCCCTCAGACGTCGAGGTCTTCATAATCCAGTAGACCACCAGAAGAGGAAGGGGAAGAGTAATTAAGCTTGTCTCTGTCAGCTGTCCTCTATGCACGACTTTGCACTGTAGTCCGTCGTATGAATTCCGGATGATAAAATAGTTTCTACAACCGTTAAGTAATGCATTAAATCAAATAACTAATATTCAAATGAGAACATTTCTGACTAGTATTAATTCGGATAGCTCAATACTTACTAACTGGAATCGAGTAATGAAATTAGTGAAAGCATTCCAGGATAATTAGAATATGCAGTCTATAATTAAAATAATTTTTATAGATGAAGGAAAGTCAGTCAGTCAGTAACAACGTAGAACTTCGTACGTACGTACATCAGTTCGAGTTGCCACACCACATTAGCACAGAGATGCACTTGTCGATTCAAATCCCGTAGTGGTAGAGGTAATAAGAGTATAAGCAGTAATCGGGAAGATTAGGGTTTGGAGATGTTATTTAAAGAGTATAATACAGTGAAAAAAATTTGGAAAGAGGAAAAAAGGGACATGAAAAATTCAGAAGATTAGAATTTGGGAGAACACAGAGAGTGGATGCACCTGCGCCATTGCAAACGATTTTGAGCCATGTCATTCAGGGTCTCTAACCATCGGTTGCTGTCATCTCGCGGTCCCCAACCAGGTAGTCTACACCTACCAACATGAATCAGTCCACTTGTCAGTGACTTCATGGACTTGTGCCATGTTTTGGTTTGGCCGCCCCTAGCTTTCTTCCAACCTACTCCTATACCACTGAACATAGCACGTCGAGGCAGTCGGTCGTTGGGCATACGTAACACGTGTCCCAGCCATCTCAACTGATGAAGTTTCACTACTTCATCAATTGATTTGCCATCCTTACCTAGTACCCGTTTCCTAACAACTGTGTTACTTACTCGATGGTCCCATGATATACGAGTAATGTTTCGAAGACACCTATGATCAAATACTAGTAACCTACGGATATCCTCTACTCTTACCGGCCATGTTTCACTGCCATAAAGTAGGACGGAACGAACTGCTGCACAGTAAACCCGTCCTTTGGTTGATAGACGGATATCTCGCCTACGCCATAAATGACGCAAGTTGGCAAAAGCTAGTCGAGCCTTCTGTATCCGTGCTGAGATTTCGTCACACACTAAACCACAAGGGCTGATGAGACTTCCAAGATAAGTGAAGCAGTCGACACACTCAATTACTTCACTCCCTATCACTAGTTCGGGTGTCGATGTAACCCAATCCTGAAGCAACATTTTGCATTTCGAGGGAGAGAATCGCATCCCGAACATGCTTGCATTGTTGCTTACACTGGTCAGAAGACTCTGCATTTTGTCAGCGTCTTCACCAAATAAAACTATGTCATCAGCATATTCTAAGTCAACAAGTGAACCTCCTGGTAGAAGTTCAACCCCTGTAAATTTAGATGAGGAAAGTGTTATCTCTAAAAGTACGTCAATGACAAAGTTGAACAAGAATGGGGAGAGTGGACAGCCCTGACGAACACCACTTGAGGTGATCAATTCTGATGACAGTTCGCCATAAGCTCTCACTCTACCAGTTGTGTTCGAGTAGAGAGCCTTTATAAGGTTAATGTACTTCTTTGGTACTCCTTTCAGTGACAAACACTGCCATAGAACCTCACGATCAATAGAGTCGAATGCCGCCTTAAGGTCGAGAAATACTACCATTGTGGGGCGTCTGAATGTGTGTCTGTGTTCTAGAACCTGACGTAGTGTGAATATCTGATCTATACAACCACGTCCAGGTCGAAAACCAGCCTGGTTTTCTCTAGTCTGCTCTTCACGAGCTTTAGTTAGGCGTCGAAGTATGATTGAGGCTAATATTTTAGACACTATATTAGTCAAACTGATTCCTCTGTGATTGTCACAAGAGGACTTTTGTCCTTTCTTAAAAACTGGCACAATCAGTGATTGAGACCAGTCAGATGGGATTACGTCCAGTTCCCAAATTCTACCTAAGACCTCGGTTAATCTCATTGCTAATACTGGACCACCATCCCTAAAAATCTCAGGAGTAAACCTGTCAGGGCCTGCTGCTCTCCCTCGTTTCAGATTTCCTATGGCTTTTTCAACTTCGTAAAGGGACGGAGGACCTACATTAACTTGCCATTCAGGTTGACTGGAGATCGTTAGAAACCGAAATGTGGCTGAAGGCCAGTTGAACTGATCCCTAAAGTGTTCTGCCCATCGATCCAATCTCCTGGATTGAGAATGAATAATATGTCCATCTTTCTCTGAGAGTGTTTCGCTAACGGTCGGGTTCCTAATTCCGGTTTCCTTAACGAGTCTAAACAATTGTCTGCTATTACCTATTGCCGCTGCCTTTTCCATCTCTCTTGCTTTCGCTACCCACCACTGTTCGCGATCATTGCGTAGACTTCTCGTCAGCTTGCGCTTAAGCTGACTCCGCTCTTCATTATGTTCAGAGCCAGGTGGAATGTGTTTCCGAGCATTTATCAGTGAGATAGATGCTGCTGAGATCCAGTGTTGCTCCCTAACCTTCTGGTTTACCTTACTAGCAGATATCACTGCTGTTTCCACAGCTTTTCGGATATCATTCCATGCTGCATCGGGGTGAGCATCACATACATGGCTGTCTAACTGTTTTCCTAGTTGTTCCTGAAATATACTCTTAGCTTGACTATCATTAAGTAGGGCCCTAAGAGGTTTCCTTGCGGCATCTTTCCTACGTCCAGTAAGACGCAAGCAAATACGCGCTCGCACTAGAGCATGATCTGAATCTAGGCATGTGCTCCAGAATGAGCGACAGTCTTCTATCGAGCCCCTCCATCGGTGGCTGATAGCGATGTGATCTATTTGGGTCCAACGTTGGGACGAATTAGGGGGTCGCCATGTTAAAAGATGTTTATCCTTATGCTTAAAGTTAGTATTTGCAAGGAACAGGCGGTTATCTGAGCATAGCTGCAACAGACGGTCGCCATTATCTGTTCTTTGAGCCACGACACCATAGGATCCACCTAGGTGTCTTTCCTTATCGCTTAGTTTACCTACTTGAGCATTAAAGTCACCGGCCACTATTACTACATCCGAGCGCCTAGCTTTTCGGAGAAGGTCCGAAAGCTTTCTGTAAAACTCATCTTTTACATCATCTGAGCTGCAGTCAGTGGGAGAATAAGCAGAGACGACGAAGAGGCAACGACGAGTGTCCCTATCTTTCCGGATTCTTACTGTTCCGTTCAGTCGGACAGCGCACAAACGACTGTTTACTGGGATCCACTCTAAGAGAGCTAGTTCTGCCCTAGGACTCAATGCTATACCTACGCCGGCGAGGCCACGGGAAGCAGAATCAGGGCTTCCAGATACACGAAGCGTAAATCGAGTCGGTTCTTTATTTTGGCATGGTGAGGTCAAATGAATGACGCTACTTGGATCCTGTATGCGCGTTTCGGAGACGCAGCACACATCGATGGCGCGAGATTCTAAAGTTTTAGCTAAGGAAGCCTGCTGTCCTATTTGGCAAAGTGTTCGTACGTTAAAAGCTCCTACGTGTAGTTTAGAGCGTGGTTTCAGGAGACCAGGAATAGCGTTCCACGTACTCGAATCGTTTGCCCTAGCGGTGCGAGGTGATAAAGAGACGTGAGGAGGGTTAGTCGGGAGGATAAGAGAGGTATTAGGAGGTGTAGGAAGGATTTGAATGTGACCACCTTGGTCTCTTGTGCTGTTACGGGTATGAGGGCTGATGTCACTTCCCGGCTGCCCACACCGTGGAAGGGTATTTCTTGAGGAACCTGAAAAGGAAATTGGATTAGTGTTGGTCTTGACGACCTGGGAGCGTGACCGCAGAGCCCAAGGGACAACTGCTTGAGGCCGGTCGCGCACGGCCTTTTTGTGGAAGGTTTTTGACGTGTTAGCTCCGTTCTTCAAGGGGCCTTACCGCCGGAGACGGAAATCCGTGAGGTAAGGTGAGGTGTGCATTTTTAGGGTCGACCTTTTCTAACCCCACCCCTCCTTGTGGGAAGGCAGCATCGCTGTCATGCTGGTTGTCCGAGGGAAACACCTTACTGCTGTCACACCTCTCTACAGTCAGCAGTACGACTTCGCCCTCAGACCTTGAGTTGCTGCTTTTAGTCTTACCGTTCGCCAATCGACCTGCCTGGCATGGTAGAACCTGCAGGAAAATTAAACATACTTCAATACAGTTAAAATGTCTTGATAAACATGGGAAAGGTTATGAAACATTGGAATATTTTTTTACTGTTACTCTTACTAACCTTGTAGCTGTATGTTCATAGGCTGTATCTTGTAATAATTTTTGGTATTTTTTGAATGCATCATTATAATCCGACATTTCTTCAATAGTCTCCAGAAAACAAAGTGTTGGGAATTTTGAGCGAGTGTGAAATAGAAAATGCTAAAATTATAGATTTTCGAGAGATGTACAAAGAAAAATGAACTCATTACTTTTGCATATATTTCAAATGATAAAAATTCATGGAAAAATCCCTGACTATTAAAACAAAACTATCTAACCTTTGGACAGATTGACCTCAATAACAGCACAGACTTAGCACAACACAAGATTTCCTCTTTAAATCCGGATGGTAAAAGCTGACTCAATGCAACTCGTATAAGCTTCTCGGTCCCAATATCAATGTTCAGTATTTGATCGTATGTTGAAAAATGAAAGCTTTCAGTCCAAAATGAACTATCTAAAAATTGCAATTTAAGAAAAAATCAAGGAAGTAAGTAAATAAAATGCTTACAGCAAATTTAACCGAGTTCATTCAATTAGGTAATGAAGAAAATAGCTGTGTGATACATAAACACGTAGGATTAATGGCACACATTACTTTGTACCTATGTAGTCATTAAGAATTGTGATTTGGTGAACGATGAACGGTTTGAGAACTATTAAATGAACGCAATGAAACGACATGGCCAAGTGATGGCTGCTCACGAAGTCAGATCAGTAACACAAACCACTAACCAGAACGATACATTTTCTTCTCAGTAAAATAACACGTTTATAAATAAAATCAGAAGGGAGTTTTGTGGAGATTGTAGTAATTTAATAGTTGAGTTCATGAATCAATTAAGAGTCCCGTGCGCGGGATTGTGTATGCGCACTGCTGAGGAGTCCCATACTAGGAAGAAACGGCAGTACAGTGCTTCCAAGTTTTCCATAGTGGTCTAGCTTCAATTGACTCATGAACTCAACTATTAAATAAATAAAATGTTGAATACAAGAATAAACATGATTAACAGTCAATCAAAATAACTAGAATAAATGGGTTTCGTAGGTCACTCAACTCTTAATGAAATTAAGACCTAAACAGCAGGCTTAATACCTGCCCGATATTAGGAAATGGTCCACCTAGAAAATAATCTAACTAAGTGTTTAGTTCTGCCACATAACTTGGCAATCCAGCCAATGTATTAGTACCCGTTTACTAATTCGCGTTTAATGTAAACGCCAAGTGAACAATGGAAAGTTAATTACAGAGCTATAATCAAGGGACAAAAGTCAGTAACGGGGTCTTTAAATATGTTTCTATTGAGATAGCTGAGTTGAGTTATATAATTCACATTTATATAATATACCTTTATGGGCCAGAGTAATTTTGCATTGGTTTTCAGGAGAACCGAACACCATCCAGACTTTCACGTTACAACCCAAACGGTACAGCTCCATCCCGTTTAACAGGAAAGCCAGACACCGCCCAGGCTTAGTCGGAGTAAGACAGCTCAATCCCGCTTCACAGGAGAACCAGACACCAGGCTTTAACGCTACAATCTAAACAGTACAGCTCAATCCTATGGCGCAACCACACAGGTACCAAGCACCCTGGTGGACCATTCGCACCATTCATATATACATTCACATAACATGTATAATTATTCGGATCAATGGTTGCGTAAATCAATTATGCACAGCACGAACAGGTCAAAGTTGACCTATTCAGCTTACACGACAGTCTCATATGAGACCTTCAACTCTACATAGCAATATAGCTTATACTCCATACAACACATGTAGGGTAGCAAACGAAATAGCCCAGCCTGAGGCGCTAGGGCTTAAAGAACACTTAAAACCGATTGTCTCGTATCGGAATACTGCTACAAAACCACCAAAATCATTTTATCACATCTGCAAAATTTTCATTTTTCCGACTAAATGACTAAGTGGATGTTATTTTAACATTGATCAGTATATTATGATAACAACTAATTAAAACCGTAATTGATTTTGAACTTGTGATTATGAATAAAGTAGTGAAAAAATTGAGTCACTTGCAAAAAAATTACGATCCAAACTTTTCCTAAGACCTCAAACTATATTTTGTGTTTTTTGTTTTAAAGCGTTATAGACACTACTAGTTACTTATTAAAGTGTCTAAAACTTCAGTGTGGTTACTAGTGTCTAACATAGTTGGTGTAGGATAAGGCTGTCAAATTTACGGTTTTACTAATATAAGGGTTGTGGAGATTATTAAGTTTTTGATTGAGATCATGAACCGATTGATGTTAGACCACCACAATTGAAAACCTGGAAGCACTGGACGGCCGTTTCGTCCTATTGTGGATCGTAATTTTTTTGCAAGTGACTCAATTTTTTCATTACTTTACTCATAATCACAAGTTCAAAATCAATTACCATACACCACTAATCTTATTAATTTAATAATATAGTTTGTTACACATAAAACAATCATAATCGTACAAATTATTTTTTTAATTAGCTGCTAAATATCTGTTACCTAATTCGACTATAAACCTATAAATTGCCATTAAGATTGCTATTACATTTGTTATTTTCAACAACATCACCATAATCGTCACGAATAAATTATCATTGGTTGAATAATTGTCTGTGATACATAGAAATTTATTAAAATTCATAACATAATACAAATTGCAACGTAAATCAAAACTCATGATTGAATTAAAAAGTAATACCAATTCGCTAATATTCAGTTATAAAATTAATCATGCAATGATAAAAAAAAGACTATTGATTTAAATGTCTTATACTAGTAGTGTTGCGTTTATTGAACTGTACACAGATTGTTGTGATCAAAATAAAGTATTATAAATAGTGTGTGAACAGAAGACAGCTCCTAGTGTCAATCTGTTCTTAACAGATAACTTATGTGTATAGAAAAATTTATAAAATCCTATCATGATGACATGGTGATATTCATTCAACTTAAAAGTTTAAAGTCATGGTTATATGAGAAAAGAAAAACAAAGCAATTTATACTGACCTTGTTTAAATAAATGTTCACTTGAAACAATCAAACTAAACTCATTACCAATATCATCGTAAATTCCGTCTAAAGCAAACACTTCAAGAAATCTAAAAAGTAACCGTAAGGTATTAAAAGTTAGATCAGTCAACTCGAATGAAGAGAAAAAATGTGTGTTGGTTTCGTTTAATACACAATAAAATTAGAAAGTGAAAAAACTATAGTGAGAAGAAGTAGACGACCGGACTCATCAAACCTGAGTAAATTCGTACCATGAGCTATGGGCAGCACCATATAATCTGTATAAAATCAACATTAACCGATCATTTTATCAAGCCAGATACAATAAGTCCTAGACAGTCAAATCGAATGTAAATAGTGCTGAAGTAGTGACGTGTTTTTTACTAATTGTAGATGATTAAATGTATTCATGTTGAATGATGCTTCAGTGGTTTAAAACGTTTGAAGCATCTCGTCTCATTAGCTTCAATACAGCTCATCATTTGTCACTTTTAGGACTGTATCAATCGACAGGGGGAAATTAGTTTATGACAGGTCGCTATGTTGAGCTATTATTTTTGGTTTAACACGATTCTCCGGTTGGTTTCTTAAAGGTCTTGCAATTCGGTGGCCGTAAGCGTTTGTAGTGTCAGTTATTATACCAAGCCCATATACCTTATTCTAGCTTTCGGACATCCCATTTTATTCATTCTACCTGAGTCATATTTTGACCTTGTCCATTATTCGCTTATCAGTCTTGACTGTTTTTATATGAGCGTATATGTGTGTGCCCTTCTTATTCCATTAATCACATGTCTGTAGCTTTATTTTGTCTGACTATAAATATTGAGTAACGCTTGACTAAAATGGAGTTGGCTTCCCAGCCATCTTCCCTGCGTGTCATTTTGCTCTACTGTTTCATTCGCTTCATATACAAAATATATGAATTCTCAAGTCAATTCTCGTTATTCGACTTATTTAATTCCGTTATTGACTAACGCGATTTAAGTCGACGATTATATACGAGAATAGGCGATAACAAACATTCGTACGATCTAAATAGGAGTCAGATCCACGGGCCACCAAACGTTACACCAACAATTTAGAATAGAACTCAGCCACAATCCTTTTAGAGTTTTCTACTAAGAACAATAGAATCGGTCTTGGTTATATGTTTATCGAGACAGTACGCACATTACAAACCTACTTACGTAACAATTTTTAACATTTTGTAAATTAAGAATTGGTAGGTAACTTTAGAGGAGTTTAATGTTGTGAGTACCACAACCTTGAAACTACTGAGCTACGACGCGACCAACTAATCCAAGGCATATTATCTTAAGGCTGTAAACGACAAGATTAGTGCGAGTTGATATGAAATATGTCTAAATATACAGTGCTTACTTGATAAACGGTCGAGCAGCTTCTTTAAATAACAATCTTACAATTGGTTCACATCCATGAGACATACAACCATCTGTCTTTGACATTAAGTAGGCCAATAACGCTATGCCATGAAGTTTAGTCAGCGGATATGTGGAAACATCTGATTGATCATAATTGAGCATGCATAAGTCGGAGACAAACCTGTGGAAAACGAAATATAAATATACACCAATAGTTGGTTGTCTGTACAAACTTTCTACCCCCTTTATCAGTCTAAAGAGTATAGTTTTTATCACACTGATATTAGATGGAGAATTACTGCAAATTAGGCAGTAGCTGTCCAATCTCAATTTGCGACTTCCAAAGAATAACCCCACTAAACCTCGTTTGGAGTGAAATAAAGGCCTTTAAAAGTAGTGCCATGCACTTAATTAAGGCTTTACATCTGGATCCAATAGTTCATTTTTCTGCTTCAGTTTGTGAATTACTGCGTCTATCACTAAGTTTGATTGGTGAGTGTCTATCACCGCTTTCGACGTTATCGACATAAAACGTTATGTCTTCAAAAAAACTCAGGAAATCAATATAGAAGTCAAAAATGAGCAATGAAATATGTTTACTTTGTGGTGAATATTTCAATCTTAGGATACTTTCCATAACTGAATAACATCTACTCGAAGGTCTATGAGTAAAAATAAAGCAGCTGTCAATTCTATAAGCCAAGTATTTGATACTGATACCACGATATTCCTTGACCAGTTGTCCTCGAATGAATTCGAAATCTACTCTAACAAATGAGTTTTGGAAAATATGTAGTAGTAGTAGTAGTAGTATTAATCACCAGAAAACAAGTGGGTCATAATTATTGAGAGCTATGAATAACACCCTGCTATCGAAACCGAGTAACTTGGATGTTCGAATTAATGACGTAACTGGTAGAAGTTGAGCGTACAAACTGCCAATTCATACCATCAAAAAGAATCTATTGTGAATGATGGTTGAGTAACACTTTATTTCTATTTATTTCAATGCTTCTGAAAAGCATTTATCAGCGACATATTTCCCACTTGGCTGGTAGTACATTTTTAATTGTAAATAATGAAACTTCGAGATGAAAATAAGAATCTTAATACCTAGTTCAATGCAAATATAGCATAAAACGATGAGGTTTTTTTTGTAGGAATATAAAAGAATCAATGCATTTGCGATATTGTGACAGATATTGAACAACGGATATTACGAAAACTTTTAGCTTCTAGATTTCGACAGCTTTTCACTTCCTAGTGCGGCTCAAACTAACTGTCAACAAATTCGTGGATCTGTACACTTTAGGCAAAGGGGTTACTAATCACTGGCTTGAGGATGTAACTGTTGACCAGTGAGACATAGATTTCTGACAGATGGGATCTACTAAGGCGGAAAATTAGACCTTTACCTGAGAATCGATCGATATCTCAAAATACTTTTGTTAGCGATAAGACTTATTGAAGCTTTAGAACACAAAAAATGTATCACATGGTACAACTTACTCAATCTGTTTTGAAAGATAATGTAAGCTCTCTGTAATAAGAAGAAGTTTAGATTCGCCAATGTTCGATAGCTTCGATAACACTGAGTGAACCGAGTTTTCGTACGTACGTAACCAAGTTTTTAATCCCTGAATAAAGCAAGCCCATATCTGTCCGAGCCAAACAGACTTATCAGATTCACAAGTCGGAATGAGCGAAATAGAGTGATGGGCAAACCAACACAGCTGTCTGTATTTAGTTCCAACTTTCATATGATCAGTGACGAAATGTGATAAGCACTGGGATGAAACGCCCAACGTAATAGGATCACATTTATGTGGTATCCACAAGAAATGACCAGTTAGTGGATATGAAAAAGAGTGCTTAACATTTTCAGTCTGACTTGGTCTGGAAGTTCCCAAGAACTGGAATCTATCAGACTGAATGCCTAACCTCAACACCAAAAGATCGTGCAGAAAGTTATCATTGTATGTAAGTGGCAATTTTATTATGGTACTCTGAAGCTTTACAGTTGATTGGGCCTCTTCCGCTTCGCTATTGCTCGACAAAAAACCAAATCTCGACTTTTTGGCAGCGAGAACAGCTTCGGCAGAAATTGGACCAGTTTCACTCAAATAAGGTAGTTCCTTGTTTAGACATCCGCTAAAAATGAGAGAAAATAAAATAAACTATTGAATTCATTATCCCAAAATGTAGTGTATTGAACGTGATGTTTGTCTTTGACTGAAAGGGTCAGAAAGCATGTTTAATTCTGCATCCAACATCTGTTTGAAGTGCTTACATTCCAAAATAAATAATTTTCTCTTATTGTTGAATACTTGGTTCAGTACTCTAGGCTTTGATAAAATATATCCCTATCTTTTCTTAAGATGAAGTCGTGAGACGAAGTCGAGATAAAGCTGATGTCAGTTGTTACCAAAGTCAACTTACTTATACTTTGGCAGAATAAAAATGATCAACCCATCGTTGATGCGTGCGACGTAGTCAACAATTACAAAACTGTATGTTATGTTACGAGTCACACCAGTTGCGTAAAGCCTAATGATATCAGTGGACAATTAAAACCTTTGTAAGCATAACAGGACCGAAGCACATGTTCTGCAAACTGAGAATCTGGTCCATTAACTGACAAAACACACGTCACTATCATGCCAGATAAATTCAACAACCAGTGACGTTTTAAAGCTTATCTGTTAAATTTGAAATTTTGTAGATCGATTGTTATATTAACCCACCATAAATCTTTTTTATTTGCTAATATTTAATGTTATTTGCTGAGCTTAGAAATTACTTATTTAAAGACTTCAATTTGAGGCATAAGTATTCTCCATCGTCTCATTTAATTTAGTGTCCGAATGTTCGTTTTTAGGACTCTTAAACTTATAAACATGTGTAACAAAACAGAAAACTTACATCCCTCTGGATTCCCAAGAAAAGTTCTGGACATAACTTGGAGATACTGGTGGCAAAATAGTATCCAAAGTTTTGTTGGCTAGAAGAGTTGTATCACTCCGAATCCCCTTGAAATATGGTTCAAAAGATGAGTAGAATATTTCATTGACCAGCATTTGACCGATGGCCGTAGAATATTGAGAAAAAAGACGAAATATGGCATTTTCTATGTCTTCATTATTCAGTAAACGGTAATCTGTCCTAACAAATGACTCACAGTAACCTTCATCTTCTTCATCCAATGTTCTAGGCTAATAAAGATATAATTAATTGGGAAAGACAACACCTACCAAAGGGCGAGTACAATTTATATCGCTGAAAAGGAAGCGCAAAAAGTGTGTAAGTATAAACGATTTCTCTAAGCGCACAAAAGCTACTAATTTTGTAGAAATATGACTTATTCAAGTGACTACCTCTATAACTGTCACTAACCCAAAATACCAAGAGCCTGAATAAAGTATTTAGAATACAGAACTAGTTGTCATATGATAACAGGACCGCACCCACTGTACAGAAGTACCAACGAGTTCCTCGTGATATAGTATACTGGATATAATTCAGAGGCGAATATATTTGAGAATTCAGTACGTTGACTATCGAACTTTGCCAGCTATCAACAGCAACATGACAAAAAGCCATGAACGTAATGGATTTCTAAATAATCTAATCTTCAAAGTAACATAAATCCCATAAGGGAGGCTTTTAATTCTCAGTACATATTAAACGACCAGTCAATTACACTACAAGACTGCAACTATGTATCCGTATGCGTTAAAATTGCTCGGTGGAATAAGCGATAGGTGGAAATTAACAACACCTTCCCTTGCTACTTTAGTCACAGAAGATTCCATAACTTGATGAGTAAACTTATTCACATAGACTTAGTATTAATTGCTATGTGGACACAAAATCATGTCACTACATGTGAATATTCTTAAAATACAAAAGTAGTTTATGTGACAATATAATCACAGTTTCTGTTAAACTATTCCTGTGCAATTGCGACGTATAATATCAGTAACAGCACCATTGTCAAAAGGTATACACCACACTCGTTGTAGTTGTGCCAATGAATGGGCTAATAATTAGGATAAACGGAGGACTATGGCACATAGAAAACCTTTCAGTACATAATGGCTGATATGTTAGCAAAACTGTGTGTGATAAGTAAACACCAAAAGTCATTAGACCACTACTTCATATATACATTCAAAAAAATAACATCGACGTAATTTGGGGAAAGCACTTGAAATAATCGGCTTACCTAGAAATTGTTGGACATCGTGAAGCTTTTGGGATGTTAAACCTCATCCAATTGTTATTCATGTGAATGCTACTCGGAACACCAGTAGGGTCAACGTTAAACATGTTATTCGAATAAGCGGTGGTGCGAATGGTCTTCAATAGAACACTTGATGCACAGTGATTACTAAGAGCTATGTTCTCCGATGGGAACGTATAAGCCTACGTAATAACTTTACATAAAACAAAGTAAAAGCATACATTAACTGAAGTTGTAGACAAATATGGCATTTTCACTGATGAGAAAGGACTGATACATCCAAAATTACTAAGACTGATGAAGTTTGAGAGAGATTTTAAAAAATTACCCTGTGAGTTTGCTGTATGAAACAGATGATTCAGGATTTAAATAAGTCTAAAAATATATAACGAAAGTTAGAACAACCTCGGAATGTTCATACATCTCAGAATCACCGTAAAATTTGCAAGTTCTGTTGGCAATAAGATATATAAAAATAAGTTGACTCGTAAATTCTACGTTATATTTATGCTAAGTAGTATAATACCTTTAATTTCCGGAAGGGTATTAACTAAAGCATCAAGACGACGAGCTTGTTTCTCATTTCCGGACTTTTCCAATTCAAACTTTATAATTTCGTGCAACTTTTCAAAGATACCATTTCGGGGATGAAAAACCTTGCCACTTGAATATCTGAACAGTATGTATTGAAAAGAAAAGTCACTTGTGTGGCCCTTTCTGGAAATTGAAATTCAGGTCATAAGACTGAATCCGCAGAATCCTTTTCAGCTTTTTATTACTGAGTCCATGAATAGTTAACTGAGATGTTGACTTCGATATTAAGCGATCAATAAAACTAAAGACCGACAAATCGCACACGTTCATAATACGACCCGGCCTTGGGACCAAAAGTCCCGCATTCTGCCGAATTTCAGAGTCATATGGCTTTGAACTTGGTAAAAGGAACTTCGCCTAACAATCTTCTAATTATAGTGGCGGTTAGTCATCTTGAGGGATTTCCTGAGTTTTATACATTTACAACACGTCTAAGATGAATTACATTACACTTCAAATTGCATTCACTGAATTCAACGTCAACTTTCCAAGCTCTGGGTTCATATTAATGTGTTTTGTGGATAAAATGCCAAGTAATATGCCAGTCTTTCTATAAAGTGCCTTGCCTATCGTTTGGTCTTCTCTTCTCAAGGCACTGACACCTTTTCTTTCAAAACTAGTAATCAAGAGTGCGCAAAGGTAAAACATGTACATCACAGTAATGGTATATAAATCCCCTAAATGAATGGTTTTGTAAGTTTTCAATATCGACGATGGTTTCGAAGGTCTTCCATCAAGCATCCTAACCAAACCATGTTCGAACACATCTTGCTATCATTTGCTTATAACAATTAATCGATTTAGATTACATACACTTCAACACATCGGCTATAGTGAAGTAGCATCTCCGCATCTCGTGCTCCTGTACTTGTGATTTCATTATCTTTGGAATCCTTTTACAAAGAGAAACTCACGTTAGTAGCGTTGAAAAATACCGAATATCAAGGGCAGTTTCGTTGATGAGCCTGGATACTGTCTGATACACCACACAGTAAACTGTGAGCCTTTTCCTTGTGGTAATGTTTTGTGTATGCTTTTATATATTGTAGTGCATTCTTCGCTCCTTTTGACCTTTTACATTAGAATTTTTATTCCTATATTACGCAGAAACACACTGAAATTTATAAGGATCAGTACTCCTCCAGTCTAATAGGAAAATATCTAAACCTGGTTCTACTATTCGGAACATGGCTTTCATGAACACAGCATGAATGACAAACGAAGGTAGTTTCTCGCAGTAGTGAAGAAACTACTCACAAAGTCAACGGGTATGTTCACTTACTACGTATTGATGTTTCAGAATCAAATAAAACTTTTGATAAGGTTTTCCTTAAATATTGTCAACGATTAGATGAACTTGTAAATTTATGGTCTTGTTTGGTACCAGTACATTTATCTTTGCCACTGTATAAGTAGACTTAATTCCAAAACTGTAAATTTGTCATGATGTAATTACTTAATCTATAAGACCTTACGTGGAAGTCACATCATTTTTAATTGCCGCTTCCGCATTCACCATTTTTGAACTTCTTCAGTTGTTACATGCTGAAATTAAACCTACTCAGTAATTATGTGTTCAGATTCAAATATCGTTTGGTTAGGAACCAACATCGTTAAACACTCTTCTGTGATATCAAACTAGGGTACGACGCCTTAACAGAAATTTCGTTGCGAATGAGATAGGTCACAGGTTAGAGACCCTTCGAAAAAGCCTATTTACATGACCCAATTCAGTAAAGCAATCTCAGCATGTTCGGGTGCTTCACGTCTCGTCCCGACATAAAGCCGTTAGTCAACTGACTTTGTAACAACTAAGGTTGAACAGTTAAGTATATGTCAAAGCAACAGAGCTCGAGTATTCATTCACTCTCTTATTTCGCATAGTCATTATATCCCCTATTATCTTATGCTGAATTTCGGAAAGCTTCGTGTGTTTGAACAGGTAACCTCCTGCTCCACTGTGACTGTCCCACGAACTAAATAAGGATCTATTCACTACTAGTCTGAGTTCTATCAATAGAACGAGAGTTACCTACAGGCACCAAAACATCACCTGCCAGCTTGATTCTGAAAATTATCAGGACCCCAGCACTGAGGTTTGTTCTGGAAGGGAAGAGATTAAGTTGACCTAAAACGAAACTTAAGGTGTCCATAATATTCACACCCGATTATTGACTCTGTGGCACGACAGTAGACAATCGGAAACTTCTTAAAAATGCTCATCACGGAAAAGATCTATCTTAAGACCGCATAAAACAACTGACGTTGACTGGTGTCGGTATGACAAATCCCACAGCGAATCTTCCAGAAACTGCAAGAAACCCTACAGCTTCCTCAACCTTAGAGTTTCCGCTATAACAAACCTTTACAGACATTCTATCACCAGTACATGTTAATGGAAAATAGCAGCCTGTGGATATAGCCGTTTATCTCACATCAGTTTAGTGCTAACGAATGTTTACTATCTTTTGGACAATGACGCAGCGGTTCAGTCTTCGGCTTACAGGCGGCGAAATGAAAACAGATCACATAGTGTAAACCGTACATCTAATTTGATGCAGGGTCACGCAATACCATTTACATTTTTGCTGTCTCATGCTCGTAAGTAACAATCATCGGAATAAACCCGCTGAAAGCCACAACCTATTTATCGACTCAAGCAAACGGAAGCTAGTGGACAGAGATACTAAATTATCTTTCTGCGGAGCTTCTTTTTCAGGTTGCAAGTTATATCCAATAACAATCTAGCACCAAACTAATTTGCACTTCCAGATGATGCTTAACAAATATCACAAACTATACAAAACACGGTATAAGTCATTGCGTACAATTATTAATGTTACACATCATATCACGACTTCAGGACCATCTGCATTCTTGTAAGTGTACCAACTAGCTCCTGAGTAGTTACATTAATCCGACAACGAATCCAGTTACTAAATCCATTTAGGAATAACTTTTATCAAGCAGACTGTGGGAATCTCCTCTGCTTATGATTCCTTAAGATGGGCATCAGTAGCTATAGCCAAACTTGCGATTATCAGTGACCTTGCACGAAAACCACTTTAGAAGATTGAATATTTGAATGACCGTTACATCCAAAATCAGCCTAGTTAAAGAGTATAGTCGGATCGCCAAATCTGTGGACGACGATTTTAAGACGGCAATCATCCCTTCCCCAAAACTATATGCTTTTTAGACGTGCCTTTCGATTTAAGTAATGCAGCGCGGAATTTTCAGATTCAGCAACAGCAAATGTGAAGGACTCGAATTTATGCACGCTTATGTTGAAGACTGTTTGAACTCAAGAATCCATTATGCAACATATGGAACTTATTTTTAAACGACTCCAAGAACATGGCAATACTGAGAACATTCAGAAATGTCAGATCGTAACGTACTCTCCAGACTTTCCAGAGCATACTAGTGAATCAAAGGGTATTCGCCCTCTGGAAAGTAAAACGGTGGGCATTCTAAATTATCCAGAATTGACTATCCTCTAACTATCGAGCGAGTTAAACGGTCTTCCAAGATTTTATCGACAATTCGTACCATATCGCGCGTCTGTGATGAGTGAATTTAACTATGTCAGAATGGAGATATAATCAAACTAGATGATAGTCAGAGTAAAGCATTTACCGCAATGTAATACAGTACCCTCAAGTCGACTACGCATATAAAACACCAGACACAATCTGTAGACACTTCTGATCCATCAACAGGAGTTATACAGCAATGGGGAAACAAAGCTTTGAGATTTTTTCGGAGATAGTTCCAAGACAATGAATCGAGGTACAGCAACTCGGCAGAGAACTTCTAGCTTCTTATTGTTCGTACGGCCTTTTAATACTCTGTAGAATGCTGTGAATTCGCTTTGTTCTCCAATCATAAACCTCTAACGTTTTTCCACAACTTTTCTGAGTACGATTACGCACTTTAAGAGTCCCGACAAATGGACTTCATTTCGCAATTTAACTCAGATATACATATTTCTAAGTCAAATGAAGTAGCTTTAACTACGCTATATTGTGTGATTATGTCAAACATTCCCCGAGGAATTAGCCATCCCAAAGTCACCCATTTCTAAAAAGGGACGCTGATCGCCTAGTCACGCTGAAACACAACCCCAAGATATGTTGTACGAATTTTCTAATCCAGGTGTACCAGCAACCATCGATCTCATAGCAAAATGATCTTGGTTGGCCAGCTCTTTGTAGACTCTCAACGTTTTAAAGGGACTAGTCACCACTTGTTTCAGTTATATTATTTCACAGCTGACTCTGTGTTCAATTAATTTCAATTAACAGCCTTTCTAGAATCAGATTGATACACCTATATTTCGGCATGTGCGAACCGTCTCACATGGTGACGAAAGCAGTACCTACCTCAGATAAAGCTGTTGAAAGAAAAACCCTCACCTTCTTCGACTGACTATTCACAGACTTAGCTGCCATTTGAAAATCACTTGGGACTAAGGACGTCGATTCGAATCCAGACTTTTCCACACCCTTACCGAAATCTTAGAAGTCGAACGATTCTGAACAACCACGTTCCAGCCACAAGTTAATAATTTGGTAAAATGACAGTCGAAAATCTCCCTTCCGGCCCTAGAAAATAACGGTGGACTAACGTCTTTCTACTAGTATTCGGTGATAGACGACGTTTTACTGCAGACAAACTTGTTTGTCTCATGACACGCCAAAGTCCACATGCTATGCATTCAGTTAAACGAGCTCCCATGCAACTATAATCAACTGATGACTACATTCAATCTGCTTGATGGTTTCTTTACATAACTTTTGCACAGCACTCACTACGTTTACTCTCGGACGCTATTTATGAACGACCACAGTAAATCCAAGTACTATACTATCTGTAAGAACGAAAATGAAGGTAGTTTATGCATCCACCGACAGGAAGCCACTTAGTTGGAAGGCAGTTCATTCTCTATAGACTTTCCAACAATACAACAAATCGTGATGAAAACAATTAATAACGGTTTCATATATGGCCGTAATCCGACGGAACGTGCAAACAAAAATGTCGAAATAATAACCTTATATCTGACAATATGACAAAGGGCGTTTATCATAAAATTGTGTGCAAGGAATCTTCGACGAACAGGTAAACGTATGCGCTCAAAAACGTATGAGGCAATAAAGATAGAGAATTTACAAATAGAATATCTAAAGGACTATTGTTCAGGATATTTTCGTATCATACCCCTTTTCCCCTTGCTTTCTGTGTACTACAGCCTGCTAATTGCGTTT